TGTAATTCCCCCTAAAATAAATATACTTTACAGTTGCAGCCGATATATGTAATAATTATATATTTCTACTAAGTTTATTTATTAATGGTTATAGTCAGGGTTGGTGTGGGATTGTGCATATTGACAACCATGTTAAAAATTCTTAATTTGTACTTGGAACTTTTGTTAATTGAACTTTTTGCCTTTTTTTAAAAAAAAACTTGGCTCAACACTTTCAACATTCAACTTACTAAGTTTTGAATTGTTCTCCAAAATATGTAAGAGTATCTCCGACCATGACTCAAATTTGAGTCAATATTTGAGTAAAATGTTTGATTTGATACAAAGTACTCAAATGGAAAAAATTCAAATTTAAAAGAGAAAAAACTCAAATTTAAATGAGGATGAACCCAAATTTAAAAGATGATAGAATACCACCCTTGATTTTGTATGAATTTTGGTATAACATTAGAGAAAGTTTTTAGGAATTTCTTATCCAAATTTAAATTTGAATTTAAAAAAAAAAAGTAAAGATGCTCTAATATATATATACACTACTACTAATAATAATAAGTCTGTGCTTGCAGATACTTTAAAATACTAAAAATCGAACATTAATCGTGTGATATTTATATTTTAGGATAAAAAATATTGACACTCCATAAGTTTTGGTAATATTACATGGACACCCCATAATATTTTGCAAATAACACGGAGACTCTCTTAGATTTGAAACTCATTGAACGAAGACTCCCTTAGATCTGTTTCTCTTCTATTAATGTTGCTAACGGAAAGTGATTATTTCATCAAATTTTTTTTTTTATTTTCACACTTTCCATTCTCCAAATTTAGTATCCAAAAAAATTAAAACTTTAATAAAATCAGACAAAATTTGATTTAATACCTCAAAAAATTGATTAAATTGATTTATTAATTTGATAATAACAAAAGTTAATTTGATATTAATTCGACAAATTTAAATATAAATTGGACAAAATTAAATGTCAACTTGATAAAATTGTATATTAATTTACAATCTAAGGTTTATTTCGTGTTGAATATTATTTATTGTTCATTAAACCAACACGAAATTGACCTTAAATTATAATTTTTTTTGTTGTATATAAACTTAAAAATTTATATTTTAACCCATGATATTTAAATATAGATTTTTTTTGTAGAATAACGTCTTCCCTCTTACTATATTACTTGATAAACTTTCTTTTGGTCAATATTCGATCTCGCGTACTTAAACCAAACCAATCGTTCATCTCTACTTTTGTTTTTTTAAGATAATCGCTCACCTCCACTTGGTAAACTCAAAAACCTCTATTTCACATGAAAATACGTCAAACTAAATTTTTATTTTGAAAAATTGATAGTTCAATTTTTTTAAAAAACTTTAGTACCAAAAAAATTGATAATATTGTCAAAAATAAAATCTAAGGTCAATTTCATGTTGAATTGATCAATACCAAATATTATTCAATACGAAATGAACATTAGATCATAAATACTATTTAATTTTATCAAATTGACATTTAATTTTGTCAAATTAATATTCAACTTTGTTGAATTAATTTCAAATTAATTTTTATGGTTATCAAATTAATTTTTGGGTGCTAAATTAAATCAATTTTTTTGGACACTAAACCAAATTTTGTTTGATTTTATTAAATTTTAATTTAATTTAATTTTTTTTTGGTACTAAATTTGGAGAATGACAATTGTGAAAATAACAAAAAAAATTAGAATGAAATCATCACGTTTGTTAGCAACAATGACGGAAGGGAGCGTGCATATAATATTATCAAAACTCAGGAAATGTCTTTTATTTTTACCATATATTTTAAGTAATAATGTATTTTTATTTCCTTTTCTTTAGTTATACAATTTAAAATTAAAGTACAAAGAAAAAAATGATAGAGAGATATGTAGTATATGTGGATTAATGAATTTGTTTAGCACTGGGAAGTGTATTAGTTGAGTTGTCTGACATTACGGACCGTGCATAAAAGATGTTTTTGAGCAGAAAAAAAATTGAAATAAATTTTATACTATTGAATCAAAATAGATAAAAATTAAATCAATATTAACTGTGATTATACTTTTGTAAGTTTATTATAGTGAAAATTGAGGGTGAGAACTCCTAGATGAACTTATAAGGACTTGAGTCTTGGAAGAAAACTTACTTGGAGATAAGTCTGTGTTTACACTTATATGCAGGTACTTAAGTCCACTTATTTTTTAAATCTCAAAGTTACCCCCTAACGATGTTAGTTTTGTCCAATTATAAAAAGTCACATAAGTTAGATCATTAAAGTATATATGGGAACCCTTAATTGAGCTATATATGAAAACCGTTTATTAAATATTATGATAATTAACATAATTTTTATATGAAAATTATATATTCTGATAGTTATATATGAAAAACTTAATGTACAAATAAATTGTTTGTATATTAAGTCAAAATCATATCACAAAATTTTTATAACAACAGTAACATTCATGTTAATAAATAGTAACATTCATATTACTATATGATTGAAATTACAATTAGAATCATGTTACCAGTACAGTCGTGTTACTATACTGAAACTAATATTACTATAGTGAATGTTAGCATACAATTATAAACCTTGAACCGTATATTATATAACATACACTTTAATATTTATAGTAATATCAAAGCTTTGTGTTCAGTAACACATTTAATTTTACAAAATACAAGACAATAGTTTTTTTACAGTAACATCAACTTTTGAATGATTTTAGTGAAAATACGATCCACAAATTCAAAATTTACAAAATGACGAGTAGTAATACACAATCGACAGTTGAATTACGACACTCAACACCAATTGTGAACATCAAGACATCAAAATTCTTAACTCCATTTTTCGGTTAACGTACAGTAAGATGAATTTTTTTCACAGTAACACAACCAAGGAATACTCGATTGTCTCGCGTAACAAAAAAATCAACAAAATCGAAATTTATAACACTTTAATTTAGTACTAATGTATAACTTCTCTTCAATTTTGGTTATAAGGTTAATTCCCACTTTAAAAAAATTAAATCCCTAATTGTTATTACCATTTTACCATGTTACTATTTTTTTGTGAGCATGTTACTATTTTTTTAGTGATCAAATTATGTCTTTGTTGAGAATGTTACTATAGTTAATTTTTAAATATTAATATTAAATATTAATATTTTGTCGATGGAGTCCAAAGTAAACTAGAATAGTAAATTAAAATTATATTTTATGGAATGTAATGAATTTGAAATTTGAATATAAATAATTTTTGGTAAATTTTGATTTCTTATTTTTCAGATAAGGGAACATTGTGACTTGAAAAATTATAACCGAATTTAAAGGTAACTATAAAATAAATGTATATGACTGCTTAGTTCAAACTCGACTCATTTTTTAAATAAATCAAACTTAAAAAAACTGTAAACTTGTTTTAAAACAAAGAGTTCGAAAGACTTAGCTTAATTATCAACCCTCGTCATAAGAGTATATATCCCCCATCTTCACACTAGCTTAGCATTTCCCCTACCTTCACCAAAAGACAATAATGTACCCTTGTATACCTTCCCTTCTTCCATCGGGTACACACACCATTCTTTTTCTTCTTCTTCGCCTATACAATCATGAGAAAGAAAAAAAAACACGTAGACAAAGTACATGATTTCCGTATAACGTGTATGAAAGCATTAAGTGGTATACAATTTTATCAAATTCGAAAAGAAAAATTAAGAGTAATGTTACATGAACTTAAAAACTAGACTTAATAATTACAACTATTGAATATGTAGTGGATCCCAACATTCATTGGAACTCACAGTGAAATCAATGATTATAATTATCTAAATCTAATTTTTAAGTACATGTAACATTGCTTAAAAACTAATTATCCCATTTAACAAAAACACCAATTCCTAAATCTATAACATTAACCCCGTCCTTTTACCAAGTTGGTGTCTGGTCCAAATCTTATAACTATGACTAAAACGTATAAATACTTGACGTTTCAAGTCAATTTTTTCTCTGATTCGATTAAAAAAAATGGACACAACGTAAAAAGGCTACGCCAAGACCGCTCATCCTTCCGCTCATCGCTTTATTCTCCCTGCACCAACTACTATAGACAAGAACCTGAATGATTGCCTTACATAGTCTCTCTTTCTCTCTCTCTTCCCCCCCCC